AGTGACTCCTGCCTGCCACCTAAATTACCCAACCCCCAGTGGGCTTTTCAATAAAAGCAGTGCTACATACAAGGCCAAACCATGGATAAGCTAAAATGATTGCCCTACACCTCAAAATATGCATACTTTCTCCAACAAGATTTTATTCACCTATCTGGTTTAATTCTCAAGCCACTGTACTACGAAGATAGTGTTAAAAAAAAAAAAAGAACTAACAGGTCCAAAGTGGAGTCATTTGTTTCACACACACAGTCACACACACTCACACTGGCTTAAGACTCAATATTAAAAAAAAAAACAAAGATTATGGCATCTGGCCTCATTACTGCATGGCAAATAGAAGGGGAAATTGTGGAAGTAGTGACGGATTTCCTCTTCTTGGGCTCCAAAATCATTGCACACAGTGACTGTAGCCATGAAATCAGAAGGCGATTGGTTCTTGGCAGGAATATAATGACAAACCTAGACAATGTATTGAAAAGCAGAGACATTACTCTGCCAACAAAGGCCCATATAGTCAAGGCTATGGTCTTCCCAGTGGTCACATAGGACTGTGAGAGATGGACCAGTAAAGAAGAAAGAACACCAAAAACTTTATGCGTTCAAATTGCAGTGCTGGAGAAGACTCCTCAAAGTCCCTTGGACAGCAAGGAGATCAAACCAGTCAATCTTAACGGAGATCAATCCTGAATATTCACTAGAAGGACTGATGCTGAAGCTGAAGCGCTAGTATTTTGGTCATCTGATGCAAACAGATGACTCACTGGAAAAGTCCCTGATTCTGGGAAAGATTGAGAGCAGAAGGAGAAGAGGGTGTCAAAGGATGAGATGGCTGGAGGGCATCACTGATGCAATGAACATGAACTTGGGCAAACTCCAGTAGATGGTGAGGGATAGGCAGGCCTGGCATTCTGTAGTCCATGGGGTCACAAAGAGTCGGACACAACTGAGTGAGTCAACAACTGGTTTAATTCTCAAACCACTGAACTACTGAAAAGGAAAAGTTACAATTTTACATAACTTCCTGCTCATTCTGCCTGGGTAACTCAGCTTCCTCCTTGCAAAGTCTGGATCACATAGGTCACACAGTCTCAGAAAGTGGGGACTTACAATACTAGGAACTGGAGGTTATCTCACTCATCTTGTCCTGCTCTTTGCAATTGCCCAGCCCCTGCAAACCTGCTTAATCATGCCTGTCCATGTAAAGGTACGGCATCCCCCTCCCCATCTTGACAGCTCTTCCCACGTGTTCAAAACCCCTGATTTTAAACCAGCCTGTTAGCAGCTAGTGTTGCACACTATAGTTTGTCTATAAAATCTCTGTAACCCTTTTGTTTGGGGCTCAGAGCTTGGAGTGTTAACTCCTCTGAGCCCACCAGTGTAATAAACCTGAGCTCTCCAACTCTCACAGTGTGGTGCTTGGTTTCGTGATTCCTGGTTTCTGCAACACTACAAAGGTAGTATTTTTTTTTTTAAGGCCTAAAGTGGAGTCATTGTCACACACACACACCACAGCAGCAAATCAAGACTTTGTTTCAGTTTTCATCTTTCATAGAAATGTAATTTTAATCAACTAGGTTGGTATTTTATTGTCAGCACTAAAATCTCCATCCCCTAAGAAACAGGTATCTGCACTATAAAGCCCTTGCCATTCCCATCCCTCCCCAAAAAAGATGTCATGAACTAAAATTATCCTTTCTCTTCTTTAACTAACAATTCCTTTGCCCAACTCTTTTTCTTAAGGAAAGAAGTGTCCATTTTGAATAACCCTCGTATGGTGACCGGTTCACAAACTGCTTCATAAAGGCAAATTAGATGTTTAAATTTACCCATTGGAATTTTTTTTTGGGGGGGGGGATGGCCGCGCAACGAGCGGCTTGTGTGATCGTAACCCCCGACCAGGAATCCTACCCAGGTCCTTGGCAGTGAAAGTGCGGAGTCCTAACCACTGGACCAACAGGGGATTGAATCTTGATGTTTAAGAGTAGTAACCTCATCCCAAACTTACGGAAAGCCGTCAGAGAAGGAGAAATTTAATTCATCCAGTGTTCTACTGCGGCAAATAACAGAGTAAGATGGACAGCGCGCAGCCTGGGAGGAGGATCCTCACGGGGAGAGAGATCTGGAGACCCTCCAACTAGACCAAAATTTACCAATCCACATCCGGGAACTGAGAGGCCTCAGCCCAAAGGAACCACCTTCCACGCCCCACCCCTCAAACCACTGCTCTCTGAAGCAGCTCTTGCCCCCAAATCGATAACTGGGTTAGACAGGTTCCCAAACAAGTTCCCACGGGTCGCAAAATGCAGAAACCACCGGTGCCAGGTAGGAGAGGAAGATAACAGGACCGTCCAAAGCATAAGTTCCGCCCAGAGAGGAAGTTCCGCCCAGAGCGGAAGTTCCACCCAGAGGCTGCTCTGGAGACACACTTCCCACAATTCCCTTGTCGGGGTCGCGCCCGTGCGAAAGTGTCCGAGAGCCTACCGAACTTGTTGACTACACTGCCCAGAAAGCCAAGTGGGCATAACCCCCGAATTCTCAGAAGGCCTGCAATCTGAAGCCCGCCTTGCAGGAGACCGACGTTCTGTCCTTGGGTCGGGAAGATTGTGTGGAGAAGGAAATGACAACGCACTCCAGTATTACTGCCTGGAGAATTCTATAAACAGGAATCTGGCGAGCTATAGTCCTTGGGGTCGCAAAGAATCGGACACGGCTGAGCGACTAACACTTTTCATTCTTTCCACTGGACGTATTTAAGACCCTTCACAGATATTGGACTATAGTTTCCACAGTGCCCTTGCAGGCAAAGTTTATGCAGTCGACTTCCTGGGCAGTAAGGTGGATTCCTTCTAGAGGCGAGTGTTACCCTCTCCTGAATCCAGGAGCGGGGACTATTGTATGTTGTTTAAGCTACTATTTGTAAGCAAAACTACATAGCATTTCAAAGTTTAGTTCAAACTCCAGTGATGGACTTCAGATTCTCGGAAAGAACATCGCACACGGTGAAGGCTCTAGAAGCTGCACGTTTGGAAATCTACATCAAATTGTTGATAACAACACATTAAGGTTGTATTATAGGGACTTCCCTGCTGAGTCACTGGTTAGAATTCCAGGCTTTCACTGAAGTGACTTGGGGTCAATGCCTGGTTGAGATTAGAGATCGTACAAGTGTGGTGAGTTAAAAAACATACAAAGCTCAAAAGTGTATTATAACCTTCATGGGCCCAAGAGAACACAGTAATTTGGTTGATTCTTTATTGTGTCTCTCATATGAGTCTGAGTCACCTAAGTCAATGAGTCAGAGACTTTCATGGTAGTTCTTTGGCTAAGATTCTGGCTTCCACTGCAGAGGGCCTGGGTTTGATCTGTGCTCAGGGAACTAGATCCCAGAATCCCGTAATAAAGATTCCGCATGCCGCAAGAGCAAAGATTCCGCGTGCCACCAATAAGACTTGGCACGGCCAAATAAATAAATATTGTAAAAATATTCATTCAAATGAATCATAGACCTAAATGTAAAACCTGAAACTGTGCAGCTTTTAGAGTAGGAAAAAAAAGTGGGGGCAGAAAAACCTTTGTGACATTAAATTAGGCAGAGTTCTTTTATCTGAAATCCAAAGCACAATCACAGAAGACAAAAACTGAAGTTCATAAAAAATTTAAAAAACCTAAAAATGCTCTGTGAAAAATACTGCTAATGGGGCAAAAACAAAAACCACACACTGTGACAAATTATCTGCAAAACACATGAGAAAGGACAAGTGTCCAGAACATATAAAGAACTCAAAAATAAAGAAAAAGAAAACAGTTCACCAAAGAAAATAGGTCTATGGTTATCAAACATTCATGTATAAAAATGCTCAACTTAGTCATTAGGGAAATGTAAATTAAGACCAACATGAGAAACCACTACTACTGAAATGCTAAAAAATAAAACCCTAGTATGCACTGGTGGTGTGAATGCAAAATGGCAAAGCCACTTTAGACACATCTGTTTTTCACAGTTAGATATACTCTTACAAGCCAACAATCCCACTCCTAAGTATTTACCAAAAAAGAAAACCTGTGTTGATACACAAATATTGTCAGACATATCTAGTTAATAGACCATATAGAAATTATCACACTTGCTGCCACTGGAGGTGGAACTGACAAGAACAGTACACAAGGAAACATTCAGGTTTAATAGAAATGTGGTATATATTGATTTTGGTGATGATTATACAAATAGATACATTTGTCAAAATTCATGAAGCTGTAAACTTGAGATTTATGCATGTGCTTCCATGAAAATTACACCTCAATAAGGAACTGTTAGCATACAAAATTGCTGGCCACACACAACCTGGTGATTCTGTACCCATTATTGGGTTATGACCTTCAGTTTGATAAGCACTGGTTCAGAAGACCTGCAGGGTTTGGACGATGACCCCAATGTCTAATCGAATCCTCCAAGCCTTGGAGAATTCCTCTGTTTACAAGTTTATAGAAAATTTTAGAGAGGAACTGAATAAAAAATTCAAAAGTGACTGTTCTCCCTTTCACTCATTTCACATTGCCATACACCTGCAGTGTGGTAGGCACTGAAGAGGCAGAGTGGACTTGCTGTAAACAAAGTCTATGCCTTCTGGGAGCTTCTATTCTAGTGGAAGAGATTTGGGCATTTCTGTCTTAGTACTTTTGGTTGCCTCCAGATTCGACCCATCCTTCCCACGCCTCTCATCCATGTAGTTATCTGCTAAATGTCAAGGTTCTGAATTAAGTTCTCTTTCTCCACGCTCACGAGGCTTCTCTGCTATGTGGTCACCCAACCACCATGACACTTTATGAGTTCTGGAGGAAATAAATGTTTTGTTTTCTGTGACAGGACTATTTCAGCACACATGTGAGATATTAACACATGCAATTTTATAGAGATTCTCTGCTGTATGTATTCTCTGCTGAGGCAAAGTCCTTGTCACCCTCATCCCCAGCATGGACTCGCTGATGAATTGTAAGACTGGAGCTCCAACTGAAGCCTTTCCCACACTCCTCACATTTATATGGTTTTTCCCCTGTGTGGACTCTCTGATGGGCCTGGAGGTATGAGCTCCAACTGAAGACCTTACCACACTCCTCACACTTATATGGTTTCTCTCCAGTGTGAACCCTCTGATGGGCTTGAAGGTATGATCTCTGTCTGAAGCGCTTACCACACACATCACATCGGTATGGTTTCTCTCCTGTGTGGACTCCACGATGAGCCAGAAAATTCGAGGCCCGACAGAAGCCTTTCCCACACTCCTCACACTGGTAGGGTTTCTCTCCAGTATGGCACCTCTGATGGGCCTGCAGCTGTGAGCCCACACTGAAGCCTTTCCCACACTCTGCACACTGATATGGTTTCTCTCCAGTGTGGACTCTCTGATGCACTTGAAGGCTTGAGAACTGACTGAAGGCCTTCCCACACTTCTCACATTTATAGGGCTTCTCTCCTGTGTGGATTCGACAATGAACATTAAGATCTGAACTCCGGCTGAAGCCCTTCCCACATGTACCACATTTGTACGGTTTTTCTCCAGTGTGGCCTCTCTGATGGGCCAGAAGATTTGAGGCCTGACTGAAACCTTTCCCACACTCCTCACATTTATATGGTTTCTCTCCTGTATGGACTCTAAAATGAATGTTAAAATCTGAGCTACGACTAAAGCCCTTTCCGCATGCATCGCATTGATAGGGTTTCTCACCACTATGGCCTCTCTGATGGTCCAGAAGATTTGAGGCCCGGCAGAAGCCCTTCCCACACTCCTCACATTTGTAAGGTTTCTCTCCCGTGTGGCTTATCTGATGGGCCTGGAGGTGGGAACCCACACTGAAGCCTTTCCCACACTCCTCACACTTATACGGTTTCTCACCTGTGTGGATTCTACAATGGATGTTTAGGTGTGAGCTATAACTGAAGCCCTTGCCACATGCATCACATTTGTAAGGTTTCTCCCCAGTGTGGATTCGCTGATGAGCCTGCAGGCGTGAATGCCAACTGAAGCCCTTCCCACACTCTTCACATTGATAAGCTTTCTTTTCCATATGAACTCTCTGATGGACATGGAGATAGGAGCGCTTACTGAAGCCCAGCCCACATTCCTCACATTTATAGGGTTTCTCCAATGGGTGGGCTATCAGAGGAGCCTGAAAATGTGAGATTTTTCTGATGTTCCTCCCACACTCCTCTAATCTGTGTGGATTCTCTCCAGTGGGGACTCTTTGATGTTGATGAAGGTATGACCTCTGACTAAAACCTTTATGTGACGTCTCACGATTGTTCAGTTTTGCTCTACTGTGGATTCTCTGATGGGCTTGAAGACTTGAAAACCGACGGAAGGTGTTTTCACATTTTTCACATTTATAGGGCTTCTCTCCTGTGGAGGCTGTCTGGTTCATTTGAAGGTGAGAGCCCCATATGAAATCCTTCCCACACTCCACCCCTTCATAGGGTTTTCCTCCAGTGTAGTCTCTGCACTGAACTTGAAGATGTGAACTCTGAGTGAAGTCTTTACTGAACTCATCTTTATAGAGTGTGTCACTTTGTTTTTCCAATTGAGAGCCAATTCCTTGAATCATTTCCATGGAATCTCGACACCTGGTTAATTCCTCTGTAACTTGTAGCCAGATTTTTGAGCAGAAAAACTCTTCGCGGGGCAGATACCTTAATCCAACTTCTCGAAGAGTCTCTATGGCATTTAGATTCTGATTTCCTAAGAGGATAAAGAAAATTAAGAGATGGGGCATATGAGTGCTTTGCTCAGAGATGCCAAGGTTGTAAACTTTCGCCCACACCCTAAGGCCTTATGGGGACATGAAAAACTTCTATTTTTCTTCAGCATCATGTATCATTTGCATACCTCCAGACACTGAGAGCTGTTCCACCAGGCTCCCTTTCACTACTCATTAGTGGGATCCATTCAGAATCATAATAAGTTTCATAAGTGAAATATAAATTAGAGATCTAATAGCTACAGAGCAAAAAAAATACCTCCTAGGGAATGTTTACCAAGACGAGGCTGCATGTTACTCAAGCCTTACTTTCTCTGCTGCAGCAAGTGTTTAATAAACAGCTTTCACATAATTGCACATCTGATCCAAATGCTCAAAAGCTCAAGTAAGACCCTTACTGACAGATTATCAGAAGCCATCCCCAGGTAGTGTTGAAAACTTTTGCTTTATTAGAAGTTTTCTCCACTGGCAGGAGCTTTGGAGGCCCTGGTAGGTTGGAAAGATAAATGTTTGGAAGAAAATTTATCACCTAAGGGCCTAAAGTTCAGAGAATAAGTAGATACAGTGCTGGGAAATATCCTTCAGGAAGACAATATGCAGAGAAGTTTACTATAAAAACATACAGTATTCTAAAACTTCATATCAGAAAACTTCCTACAGCTTCCATTGGGGAAATAAAAAAGACTGAAAAATTAGACGATAACCTAATTTTTACAACAGAGTAAGACCTTGCAAGGAGGAAACAAACAGGGCGGAATATAGATTTTAAAAGTCAGTATTGGACAGGAAGTTACATTCTCCTTGGAACTCTGTTTCACCAATTAGTCATATAGCTTGCTACTAACTTCTTTAGAGGTGTCTTTTCAAATAATGCCGTATCGGTGGTGCCTCTTTTATTACCATACAATATCATATACTAAATTCTCCCTATGTATTCTACATTCCTGGAAATTCCCACTAGCCATACGCTGTCTTGTTTTTACATAGCATATATTCCCATCTGACATACTGTATACATTGTACAGGGCCGAAGGGCCGGTGACTACCCCGAGCTCCTAGACTACACTTCCCATAATTCCGTGGGGAGACATTCGCAGTCCAGCCCTACGATAGCTGCAGTATGCGAGCCTACACGGAGCTTTGGACTACACATCCCAGAATGCAAAGGGAGTGCGTGTGGGCCCTCCACACTACCGCCCTCTTGGACTACACTTCCCACGAAAGTCCGAAGGTCCGAGAGGAAAACCGTCCAAGTCTCACCCCCTGATGAGGAAGTGGCCAGTTCCCCTGGTTTTCACTTCCCTTAACCCCTAAGGTCTCAGGCAAATGTCTTGCCAGTCTACCGCATCAGCCCTAGAACAGGGTTATAAGCTTAGAAGCACTTTAGACGTGTCCAAGGGCCTAAGTGACATAAATGCATTACCAGCCACAGAGGATTCCTGGTAAACCCTAGATTTACTGTTGAAATAAGAGGAGAAGGAAACTGGGCTTTCTTTGGAACGGGCTTAAGTCAAAAGTCAAAATACCTTAATCCCTGAAATGTGACCAAACATGCTTTGTCCTTACTGGTTCCACATCGAGAGGGTCCTCTGTTGTAATTCTGTGTTCCCTCCTCACGCACATCTTTTCAACAGGAAAAATGAAAGTCACTCAATCGTCTCCGACTCTTTGCGACCCCATGGAGTATACAGTCCATGCAATTCTCCAGGCCAGAATACTGGAGTGGGTAGCCTTTCCCTTCTCCAGGGGATCTTCCCATCCCAGGTTTCCCACATTGCAGGCGGATTCTTTACCAGCTGAGCCACATATGTAAAGAATCTGCTGGTGATGCAGGAGATGGGGTCAATACCCTGGTTGGGAAAATCCCCTGGAAGAGGGCATGGCAACCCACTCCAGTATTCTTGCCTGGAGAATTCCATGGACAGAGGAGCCTGTCAGGATACAGTCCACAGGGTCGCAGAGAGTCAGATACCACTGAAACAACTGAGCACACATATCTACTTCCTTTCCAGCTGCTGAATTTAAGCTCCCCATGTTATGTATTTATAAAGTACAGCATAAAGATTCAATGGTTGAAACACCAATTTATTTGTGCATGCAAAACAATATTTTTTTAAATTTTGAAATTGGCTTCTGGATCCTATCATAATTTTGATCCTTATATGCCTTATGAAAATATAGAACAATCATATTATGAGGTGTTAACTACAAGGGATACTTAGTAGCAATTTTTACAAATTCCATTGTAATTTCCTGCTTTTATAGTACTGCTCCTGCTAAGTCACTTCAGTCGTGTCCAACTCCGTACGACTCCATCCCTGGGATTCTCCAGGCAAGAACACTGGAGTGGGTTGCCATGTCCTTCTCCAGTGCATAAAAGTGAAAACTGAAAATGAAGTCGCTCAGTCATGTCCGACTCTTCGCGACCCCATGGACTGCAGCCACCAGGCTCCTCTGACCATGGGATTTTCCAGGCAAGAATACCGGTTTGGGTGCCATTGCCTTCTCCGTTGATAGTACTAGTCAATGAAAAAACTGTAACATGAAATTAGAAACTGAAAAAATACCACAAAATGCTCCTAAGTAAAACCACTATGGAAGAGTATCCCTTGACATATGATCTTATGCATGTCTACATACAGATGTATGTGTGCATGCACACATACACACACACACAGACATTCAATTATACTCTGAAGGTTACAATCTGTGACCTCTCAAAGCCCATATTGTGTATCTCTTGCCATTATATTTGCCAGAATTTTAATGGCTTCAGATTAATATACAAATATAGCAAAACTCAAATTTCTACAGCTGTACACTTATTTCCATTAAAAAAAATTCAGTGACATCACTGATGTGGTGCTTATCTTTTTCATATATTAATCTCATAATCTAAAGCATTCAATTATATGATTTTTAGATCAAAGAGATGTATAACCTATATACTGATAACTACTCCTTTCCCAAAACCATGCTTTACTGCTACCAACAGGTCAAAGGACATAAACGTCAGTCTTGCCTCAATAATACATTTAATAATTTTATCAAATTCCTACAAGTTTCCTGGGTATTTTCCTCATGGATGTGGGTGACGAATATAGCATAGCCTCTACCTGAGAAATTTTGACAGAAGAAATGCTACAGTTCTTAGTAAGCAAACATTTCAAAGTGTGGATAAAAATGAGGGAATTAGAAATAGGTAACTTCAAGGTCGACCAATAAAATTTTTTCTAGTGACAATTTTTGTGACATTTTCAAAATGTTACAGTAAATCCTGCCTTAACATTGAGTGACTCACAAAAAATCAATTGTACAGTTACCTATTGTTGCAAAGTTAGTAACATTTTCAGTTTGTACTGTCAGAAAAAAAAATCAAAAGACAGTTCAATTTATAGTAGACTCAATCCTTGGAAAACTAGACAGGGCCTCAGACAATAACCCTACTTGAGAACAGAGGCTGTGGGAGGCAAGGAGCCAGTTGCAATAGGCTCATATCATATTAATACTGCAGATTATAATATCAAGTGGTTTTCTGTACTTCAACAAATGATCACTTCCTGAATTAATTTTACTTGGTAGCTTTCCTCCTCTGAAACAATTTTCATATAGTGCACATTTCCCCCTTTTGGTTTATTTAACATACATGAACTGAGCACTCATACAAGCAAGAGTTGATGTTAAGGTTGTGTAGATTCAATATCCAAGTCCCTGCCCTCATGGAGCTTACATTCTCTTGGACATCAGTTTTGACAAGCCCATCCTTACACTTTCATTAAAGGCAAGACCAAACTCTTCCTCTTTAAGTGCTATCTCCCTAAGTGGTATTTAACAAATGTCAAAGTTCTGAATGCAACCCTTACTGCACCACTCAGAGGAGGTTTCTGCTGTGTGGTCTGGTGAACACTGGGATATGCTCAGCTACTGCTTCGATACCCAATGCCTTCCCTCCTATGAGACCTGACACTTGCAAGAACTCAGGGTTGCACGTGAGTTTTTTGAAACAACCATTTTGTGGAACTTCTTTCCTCTGACAGTTCCCTGATGTTCTTACCACTCTCATCACTTTCACATAAAACAGCTCCAGTATGAATTTTGTGATGACTTACAAGATTGGAGCGCCAACTGAAGCTCTTACCACACGTCTCACACTTGTAAGGTTTCTCCCCTGTGTGAACTCGCCTGTGATACTGAAGCTGTGAAGACCGACTGAAGACTACTACACACGTCACATCTGTAGGGCTTCTCTCCAGTGTGGACACTCTGATGAAGCTGAAGACTTGAGGCCTGACTGAAGTGCTTCCCACACTCCCCACACTTATATGGTTTCTGTCCCGTGTGGACCCTCTGATGCATGTCGAGGTTCAGGCTCCACTTAAAGCCCTTCCCACACTCCTCACATTTGTATGGCTTTTCTCCAATGTGGACTTTTTGGTGGGCTTGAAGGTGTGAACTCCGACTGAAGCTCTTGCCACACTCTTCACATTTGAATGGCTTTTCTCCACTGTGGACTCTCTGGTGGGTCAGAAGATGAGATGCCTGACTAAAGACTTTTCCACACTTGTCACAATTGTACGGTTTCTCTCCAGTGTGGATTCTGCAGTGAATTTTAAGATCGGCTCTACGACTGAATCCCTTCCCACACTCTTCACATTTGTATGGTTTCTCACCAGTATGGATCAGCTGGTGGATCTGAAGTCGTGAATTCTGATTGAAGCCTTGCCCACACTCCTTGCACTTGTAGGGTTTCTCTACGCTGTGGGCCTTCTGATGGATTTTAAGATATGAACTCTGACGAAACCCTTTCCCACGTACCTCACATTTATAGGGTTTTTCTCCTGTGTGGACAACCAGATGAACTTGATAATGGATTTTCATCCTGAAGTTCTTCCCACACTCATCGCATCTGTATGGTTTCTTTCCTGTGTGGACTCCCTGATGGGCTTGAAAACTTGAACTGTAAATGAAGCCCTTACCACACACTTTACATACATGTGGTTTCTCTCCCATGTGAATTTGCCAATGGGCCTGAAATTGTGAAGGTTGAACAAAGCATTTACCACACTCCTCACATTTATAAGGTTTCTCTCCTGTGTGGACCCTCTGGTGGATATGCAGATTTGAGCCACAAATGAAACACTTCCCACACTCCTCACATTTGTATCGTTTCTCTCCAGTGTGAACCATACAATGACTGTTAAGTGCTGATCTCCGGGGGAAGTTCTACCACATATATCACATTTGAATGGTTTCTCCCCAGTATGGATTCTCTGATGTTCCTGAAGATGTGAAGCATGAATGAAGGCCCGTCCACATTTGTCACAATTGTGAGGTTTCTCTCCCGTGTGTAATTTACAATGAACAGTAAGTGTTGATCTACGACTGAAGCCTTTCCCACACTGCTCACATCTGAATGGCTTCTCTACAGTGTGGACTTTCTGATGAATTTGCAGCTGTGAACTCTGGCTGAATTCCTTGCCACACTCATCACACTTATAGCGTTTCTCTCCCGAGTGAACTCTCTGATGAATGCGAAGTGCTGAGCTGTAACAGAAGCTTTTTCCACACTCACAACATGTATGAGACTTCTCTCCTGAGTGTATTTGTTGATGAAGATCAAAGTTGGAGAGATCACCAAAAGATTTTGTACATTCATTACACTGAGGAGGTGTCTGGCCAGTGTGAATTACAGATAGTCCGGCCCCATTCTGGCCAGGGGAGTCATGTTGGTGGTGGAATTCAAAACGTTTTATCCTGGAGTCTTGACACCTGGTTAAGTCACTTGCAATGTGTTGCCAGATCTGCCAGCAGGAAAGCTCTTCATGTGGTCCTACTTCTGAAATAGCCTCCATCTCACTTTGGATCTTTTCTTCTGCAATGACACAAAATTCAGAGATGTGGACAACTGAAGGTTCTGTTTGCTGTTTTCAAGATTTCACATTTAGGAGAGAGTATGAGACTTGAATGAATCCAGAGAATGTTCCGTTTGTCTCTTCCATTGTGTGTCATGTGCTCTGGTTTGCATGCCAGTGGAAACCAAGTGGTGGTCCAGGTTGCTCCTACCCACTACTACTAAGTGTAACAAAACCCACTGGTGTGAGCTTCCTAAATAGGTGCAAGTTAAACGTCAAAAATTTAACTTGAAAACTGGATAATTAGATGCAAACTGTTCACCTATAGACACTTTCTATTGGATTCAAAGGCAGTGTAGAATCTCAGATAGTAAACTTTATAGTTAGTAAATGATGCAGACAAAAAAGTTATAGAGATGATAAAATATGAATCAACTAGAACTTTAAGAGAAAGCAAAAACTTTTTTCCAAGTAAACAAAACTTGGAAGAAACTAAGATGCCCTTCAGCAGGTGAATGTATAAATAAAAAGTATGGTACTTCCACACAATGGAATACTATTCAGTGCTAACAAGAAATGTACTACCAAGCCAGGAAAAGATGTGGAGGAAATGTAAACACTTATTTCTAAGTTTCTAAATGGAAGTGAATCAGACAAGCATATATACTGTATAATTCCAACTATATGACATTCTAGAAAATCCAGTGCAGCCAAATAAAATAAAGTAAATAAAACTACATATTTAAAAAGAAAGAAGAACCAGCATCATCATCAACAGGAAAGGGGTCATCACATGAAATACCTATGAAAGTGATATATATAAATCTCCAACACCTGAAATGCAGGTTTTGGTTATCACAAAGCATGCATTTCTTACCATGGCTCATGTTTTATCAAAAAAAAAAACCCTAAAAAACTGAGTCTAACTTCTTGAGTTACTTTGCTGCACTGCAGAAATTAGCACAACATTGTAAATCAACTATTCTTTGATTTAAATTAAAGAAAAAAGGAAGAAATTAAAATAGAAAGGAATTGGGAAAATTGACTAAATTTTTAAAACTAAAAGGAAGGAAAAAAAAGAAAGCAATCAGATAGGCAATCATCAAAAGACAAAAAATGCTCTGCAACCTCCTTCCTTCTCTCTGGTTTTAACATGACCTGGTTTTTAACATCCCCTTCACACTGAGAGAAACAGAGGTCTCCCATCTCATCCATCAAACTTACACAGAGTCAACAAATATTTACAGATGCCTGCAACATTTGGAGAAGGCAATGGCACCCCACTCGGTACTCTTGCCTGGAAGATCCCATGGACGGAGGAGCCTGGTAGGCTGCACTCCATGGGGTCGCTAAGAGTCAGACATGACTGAGTGGCTTCACTTTCACTTTTCACTTTCATTCATTGGAGAGGGAAATGGCAATGCACTGCAGTGTTCTTGCCTGGAGAATCCCGGAGATGGGGGAGCCTCGTGGGCTGCCGTCTATGGGGTCACACAGAGTCGGACACGACTGAAGTGACTTAGCAGCAGCAGCAGCCACATATTGGACTGCTCCCGGTACACAACAGGACAGACAAAACTCCACACCACTGGTGATCACACTCCAGTGCTGAGAGAGGGGTGATAAACAAGCAAAGTCTGTGAGATCCAGTAAGATGCAGAATGAGGAGAGAAAGGGGAGAATTTTACACAGGGTGGTCAGAGAAGGACTCTCTCATGATGTTGGAACTGAGTGGAGACCTGAAAGCAGAAAGGGAGGGAGCTGGAAGACTAGTGGTAGAAGAGTAGGTCTGGCGGAGTTAAGGGCTCAGAGGGGAAGAATCTGCTGTGATCACAGTAACTGCCCCCAAAGAACTCACATCTTGATTTTTGGAGCCTAGACTATGTCAGACTATGTGGCAAAGGGGAATTAAGGTTGCAGACAGGATTAAGGCTGCGGATTAGCTGACCTTAAAATGTAAGTGCACCCTCTCCTTTGGGGTGGAGTGGGAGGCTCAATGCAATCAAAAGTCTCCTATGAAGCAGAAGCGTGATGCAGGAAAAAAGCGGAAGAGGGACACGTGACAAGGGAGGACGGGGCAGAGACAAGCGATGTCGCTAGCTGTGAAGCTTGAGGAAGGTGGCCATGAGCCACTGGAAAGGCAAAGACACAGATTCTCCCCCAGAATCTCCAGAGTGAAACCACACCACACCTCTGATCTCTGGAAGTGTAAGATGTTCAACATGTGTTGTGTTAATCTATGGTGTTTTCAGTGATGTGCTCAGGCAGCCATGGGTGATACAGCATCCCTGTCGAGGCTGAGCCATGCGTGGTGTGCAGCATGGGTGGGAGACAAGGAGCGAGAGGAAAGGAATCAAAGGGACAGTGGGGGACCATGAGCAGATCCTGGAGGACTCCAGAAGCCACATTAAGAGGTTTAACTTTAAGAAAAATAGGAAGATATAAAAGCTTTGGAAAAGAGGAATGGCATCACTTTCCAAAGTGATTTCCTAATGGCAGTCCTTCCTAAGCCTCACTCTTGGCTGCTACCTGGAGAACAGACTATAGGAGGGGCAGGGCAACCAGTACAAAGGTGTGTCAAAGAAGAGGTCTGGCAGTTTGGATGAGATGACAGCCAAAGGGTTGGAGAGAAGTAAAAACACATGGGAGGGCTTCTCTAAGGACCCCCATCTGCCTGGTTCTTACCTGACTTCCCTTCTCTTTGAGTTGCTGTCTTCACCACCCAAAGCCTTTTTTCCTTTTCTAAGTGAAATATATCATGTCTAAAGGGGTGACACCCTGTGAACATGCAGAGTAACATATTTAAAATGAACACACTCTGTGGCTGATTGATGTTGATGTTTGGTAGAAACCAACACAAAACTGTAAAGCAATTATCCTTCAATTAAAAATAAATTTAATGTCAGAAAAAAGAAAAGAAAATGAATACACTTAACAGTACAATTTACTGGAAATTAAGATTCCTGTATTTAATATTGATCAATGAGTCAAAATGAGCGTAATTAAAATATTTTTAAGAAAACATGACCTATTTGAAAAAATACTGGAACTTCTCTGGTGGTCTAGCAGTTAAGACTCAGAGTTTCTATGCAGGAGGCACGGGTTTGATCTGTGATCAGGGAACTAAGATCCCTCATGGCCCAAGGTGCAGTCAAAAAGTAAAAAGGAAAACCAAAAAACCCCCAAAATACCAGTATTTCAAGACCTGGACACATAAATACAGTAAGTACTACAGAAACCAATTTCTCACCCGTGCCTATTTTCATTAACTCTCCCCCTCACTGGTTCTTATATGACTCACACAAATGGCCAGAGTTTTTCCTGCAATGTATTCCATTCTTCCTGACAAATTCTGATATTTTTCTCCCTTATTTTATTTTGTTAAAAAGCTTTGGCATGAAAGTCAGGTCCCCACATGCCATTTCAAGACCCCAAACGCCTTCCACATCTGAGACACAAAGCCAAACCAGGGAGATGACCTTGTTAGAAAAGGTGCCTGGGAGCTCTCTGGTGGTCCAGTGACTAAGACTCTGCATTCCCAACGCAGGGGGTGGGCCCGGGTTTGATCCATGGTCAGGGAACTAGATTCCACATAGTGCGACTAAGACTCGGAGCAGCCAAGTACATATTTTTTAAAAAAGACAGGGCGCCTGTCCTCACCCACTGAGACCAGATTCCGGAAGTTCTCCAGCATCACATCCTGGTACAGCTTCTTCTGGGCCAAGTCCAGCAGCCCCAACTCCTCCTCCGTGAAGGTCACAGCCACATCCGTGAAGGTCACTGCCTCCTACAACAAACAATCTCAGCTCAATCTTTCAACCAATGTCCAGTGGAAGAGGGACTACGCCAAGAAGGAGAGGTGGTTGATGGGAAGATATTCCGGCTCCTGTGGAAATGTGTAGACTTCCCAGCCCCCCTCCTTCTGTCCTGCCAACACCACACACTGACTTTCCTCAGCCTCTCGGGAAGTGAGGCTATGGAAAAGAAAGGATGGGTGAGATATGAGTTCAGATTCTGAAGGACTTCAGTCAATTTGTAGAGTTTCCAGCCCTTCTTCTATCCTGCCAATGCCACATACTGATTTTCCTCAGCCTCAGTGGCTTCCTCAGTGATTCTCCTTCCTCAGTGGCAACAGGCTGACTGAAGTCCCTCAGAATCTGGACTCACTTCCTACTCATCCTCTCCACCTTCTTGGCACTTTCCCTTTGCAAGTAGCCACTGATCGTAAGATGCACATTACATGTGTCTGGTGTTATACCAATATTTTTTAAAAATATATTTATTTATTCATTTGGCTGAACCAGGTTTCAGTTGCAGCATGCAAATTTTTAGTTGGGGTGTGTGGGACCTAGTTCCCTGACCAGGGATTGAACTCAGGCCCCCTGCATTGGGAGTTTGGAATCTTAGCCACTGTACCACCAGGAATTCTCCCCAAATCATTTTAACAAACTAAAATCCCACAAGCCGTGTGTTGTATCAGAAAAAAAAAAAAAAGAGAGAGAGAGAGAGAGAAAGAAAGAAAGAAGAGCTGTGCTATGCTATTATTTGGATATTCTACCTAAGAAACAGCCAACACAACACAGATCAAATATACTGTTTCTATATTGAATGCATAGTACATCAAGGACAAAAAACTGACATTGTTTTCACAACTGATTTGAGGGGAAAAGGTATCATGGAAGAAAGCTGTCACTGAAGCGTTGACCAAAACAGTCAAATTTGTAAACCACCTAAATGTCTACAGGTAGGATGTAGTCAAAAATAAAAAGCTGCCAAAATTTTTTTTTAAAAAAGGTGTATCAATACAGTGTCAAATGTGAAGTACCCATTTTAAAAAATATATAATATTAAGGAAACAAAGCCAAAATTTAAAGTTAGATGTACACCTAAATACAAATACAGTTATAAATGCACATGAGGAAAAGACAAAGAGAAAATAAAAACAGTTAAAGTTTGCCAGTAGGGAAGTAATGAAATGGGAGAGTTATTAATTTCTAGTCATTTTTCTACTCCATAAAATATATAATAATCACATAAAATAAAAAATAAAAACAAACACAAAGAAAACTCAAGAAGGACAACGTAATGTCTCCCATGTCTCCTGTTCTGCTTGAGTCATCCCAAAACAAACGTGCAACAATCTGAGCAATGAGATGGAACTTTAAAGTGAGAAAGGCAGGTACTACTCACCTTGAATGTGGTCATGTTTCCTCCTATGCCTAGGAATGGGCACAGTCCTGAGTTATACAGGTTCTAGGAGGTCAGAACTGTCTGAGAGAGTTCTGAGAGTCTGAGAAGGCAGAAAAAGACATGAAAGAGTAGCTTGGGTCACTGCTCATCCACACAGATGCTTCTTGTGAATGAGTGCATGAACCTTCATAGAAGCATTACTCATAATAACCTACAACTGGAAACAGCTGGAATGTTGGCCTATGTGTGAATGAACAAATGGTGGTATACTCATACAATGGAATATAATGCATCAATAAAAATGAATCCAGTATTGATTATGCTACAACATGGGTAAACCCTGCAAATGCTATGGAAAGCAAAAGAAGACAGACACAAAAGACTACATACTGTATGATTCTATTTATATGAAATGTCTAGAATAGGCAAATCTATGGAGACTGAAAGTATGTTAGTGGTACCCTGGCTTTCTGGGGGGAGAATGGGGGTTAACTAAGGAATCCAACTGCAGAAATGAAATTGTTCCAAATTATTATGGTGATAGTTGTGCTGCTCAGCAAAGTTACTAAAAATCATTAATCTGTACACCTGAAATGGGTGAATTCTATGATACATATATTTCAGGCTGGTAAAAATAAATGTTTATTAATCTACATGTCATTTAGATTTGCAATAAGAATTTATGGGTTGAGTCAATACTAATATTTATATATAAATGAATAAATAAATAAGTAGGGAAGGAGAAGCTTCTCTTTACAGTAGATGTAAATTAGTAAATGTATCTCCCTATTAAAAAACTTTAATGATTAAAAAAGAGATAACTTTACAATGAAGAAATCTGACAGACATTACCTGAGCCTAGGAAACAAAGCTGAATTTACTATTATAGGGATATACTGATATCCTTTGGCTCCAGCTATGTTGCAGTGACAAGGACACCTCACACTTCTGTGGAATCCCTGCCAACAATGCCTAATCTGAACTTACAAATGGAAAACATCAGACGAACCTCAAATGAAGAACTTTCTACAAAGTAACTTGACTATATACACCCCAAAAACATAGACAGCATATTAAAAAGCCGAGACATTACGCTGCTGACAAAGGTCCGTCTAGTCAGAGCTACAGTTTTTCCAGCAGTCATGTATGGACGTGAGAGTTGGGCCATAAAGAAACCTGAGCGTCAAAGAATTGATGCTTTTGAACTGTGATGTTGGAGAAGACTCTTGAGAGTCCCTTGGACAGCAAGGAGATCAAATCCATCAATCCTAAAGGACATCAACCCTGAATATTCATTGGAAGGACTGATGCTGAAGTTGAAGCTCCAATACTTCGGCCACCTGATGTGAAGAACTGACTCATTGGAAAAGACCCTGATACTGAGAAAGATGGAAGGCAGAAGAGGACAACAGAGGATGAGATGGTTGGATGGCATCACTGACTTGATGGACATGAGTTTGAGCAAGCTCCAGGAGTTGGTGATGGACAGGGAGGCCTGGCATGCTGTCTGTGGGGTCATAAAGTCGGACACAACTGAGCGACTGAACTGATACTCTCCAAAAATATCAAGAACAAAAAAGACAAAGGTTGAAGAATCATTCCACATTAAAGAAGAACATTAAGAAAAGTATGAGAAAAATTCTGTAAGATGTTTATAAACAAAAAATACGACATAAGGCATAAAATTGGACTTTGAACTGGGGGGAAACCAGTTATGAAGACTTTTAGTTTAAAAACATAACAAAATAAATATAAGACTGTGGATTATTTAATAGTATGCTATCCAATATGCTGTCTGGCATTACTTATGATTAACTTAATAGGTATCTACTAGATAAAACACTATTCTTTAGTATAATATCTAACATTACCAAGTATGTGATGCTAAAATTCTACAATCAGTCTTTCTGAAATCCCTCTTACCAAGACACCTCCTGATTTCATGGTATGTGGGCTTCCTTCACGCAGAAAGTTAAAATAAGCTGTTATTGAATATAGGTAACTTCCTGGTGTCATTTGGCTGATGGAGGTACAAAGCAGATAGGCAAAACAATTGGTCAATTTGGGTAACAGGTATATGAGATCTCCTTATACTATTTTTGCAACTTTTCCATAGGTTTAACATTATATAAAGATAAAATAGCCTTAAAACTCAGAAAACAGTCATAGGAATGGAAATAATGAAAATAGTAAGACTAATCAAGAAATTATATGGAAGTTCATTAGTTTATTCTTTCTTATCAGTGTTTGGAAATTCCCATAGTTAAAACACATAAGGGGAAAACCATTGAGAAAGGCGTGATTTAAAAAAAAAGAATCTGCAAAATGTTTATAGACAAATATACAAAAAGAGCCACTAAGCAAAATGTATTAGAAGCTTAACACTTGCTATCATTACACCCTGGATTAATGAGTAATTAAGAAATTTCCTCTCTCAAATTTCTTAATTCTTGAATGCTCCACAATAAAAGCCTGTAAGAAAAAGAAATATTGTTCACAACAAGGGAAACAAAATAGTTGACAATGACTTTAAAAACTCACAGGAAAGTCCAAACCCATCTTATTTAAGACCCTTCACAATCAATTCCTAACCATGATGCCTGATTCCACCTGGTTCCTAAGCCTTAAGGACTAAAAGAGTATGAACTCAAACTCTGGACTGATTGCTTGAATTTCAACCTCAAGTGAGCCCCTGAATTTGTGGGTGACTATGGGCACATAATTTACAGCACTCTGAGTATCAATCTCATTTTACAGAAGGGGGAAAAAAGCAACATTTCTTTTCAGAGTCATGTTGTGGCACAATGTATTTATTTGTGTAAAACCCTCATCATTGGCGAAGAAGGCAATGGCAACCCACTCCAGTACTCTTGCCTAGAAAATCCCATGGAAGGAGGAGCCTGGTAGGGTGAAGTCCATGGGGTCTTAAAGAGTTGGACACAACTGAGCGAATTCACTTTCACTTTTCACTTTCATTCATTAGAGAAGGAAATGGCAACCCACTCCAATGTTCTTGCCTGGAGAATCCCAGGGATGGGGGAGCCTGGTGGGCTGCCATTTATGGGGTCACACAGAGTTGGACACGACTGACACGACTTAGCAGCAGCAGCTCATCACTGGGGCCTCCCTGGTGTCTCACAGGGTAAACAATATGCCTGTAATGCAGAAGACCAGAATCAGATCCCTGGGTCAGGAAGATCCCCTGGAGAGAAGACAAAGGCTACCCATTCCAGTATTCTTGCCTGGAGAAATTCATGGATGGGAGGCTGAAAGGCTACAGTCCATGGGGTCGCAAAGGGTTGGACAGGACTGAGCATCTAACACTTTCACTCATTGAAGTTAACAGTCAAGGGTTAATTATTATCAATGCCCATGTCCAATTACACATCGGATACATTCTCTGATTGATATAACCATTATTGTAAGAGAAAAATATCAAGTCCTACTCACGTGGAGCTTTGCAGTTAGTAGCCCAGCAGTCACTCCTACCTCCTGTAGTTCTTTTTGAGGTCACGCTGGGGAAAGAAACAATGCTAGGAAATGCCAGGACCGAGCCCTCGTCCTCGTTAAAAGTTAAAGCCTCCCTTCCCTCCAAGCAGTCTGGAACCTTCTCTTCCAAGTCAGAAGGGGTGGGTGCAGGATGACCCAGTGTCGCACAGACATAGAAAGAAGGGTAAGGGTCACTGAAAGTGGATCTCTGATGCTAACCTGGGTACCTGACCACTCTTTGAGAAATTAACAGCAAGGAGAAATCAGCACTCACTAGTTGCCAGGAACCGGCTAAGACTTTTATTTGTATCACCTCTTCCCAAAACAACTCTATTACTTTTTAAAGAAAAGTAATGGGTGGCTCAGGCGATAAAGAATCCTCCTGCAAAGCGGGAGATCTCGGTCCGATCCCTAGTGAGGAAGATCCTCTGGAGGAGGGTATGGTAACAGTATTCTTGCCTGGAGAATCCCATGGACAGAGGAGCCTGGCGGGCTACAGTTCTTGGGGTGGCAAAGTCGGACACGACCGAGCGACTAACCGCGCGCACGCACGCACACACACACACACACACACACACACACACACACACACACACACACACAAAATGGGAGGCACAGGGAGATTAACTCCCCATGCGAGTAAGTAGATTAAATGCACACACACACACACACACACACACACACACCCAACACACACAAACACACACACAATGGGAGGCACAGGGAGATTAACTCCCCAGGCGAAGAAGTAGAACAGCGCGGGCAAGGTTGAGAGGCGGAATGGGTAAGCCCAAGCCCACGGAAACTCTTAATCTAGGAGATATGCGAGGGGAGCTGGTCCTCTCTCAGGGTCTCCAGAATACCCCAACCGCTCCGCCAAGGGGAACGCACAACGCTGCCTTTGCTCCTCCGCACCTGCACTCTCCGCCGAGGATTCTTTTCCCCTAAGTCGACTGCCAGGTAATTGCGCATCCCATGCATAGATCCAGAACACTTGGAAGGGCTACCAAGACGCGGAACTGACAAGCCCGCCCCACGGAAGAGACACCAGCAACCTCACTCTCCCTGGACGGAAGTCCTAGGAGTTCACGGGGCGTCTGGACTACACTTCCCAGAATCCATCTGATTTCCCCTTCTTGAGCGGCAGTGCAGGAAACTAACAGTGTCAGAACTACACTTCCCCGAATGCCACGGGACACTAACCAGAGTCTCACTTTCCAGGAAGAAGTGTTGGAACTACGGGAGCTCCTTGACTACACCTCGCAAAACTCCACAGCGGAAAGAACCCCACAGTCCGGACTCTCGGGGTGGTAATGAGGTTCCCTGCACGGGGTCTGTTAATTTTCCTTGAGTTCCCCAGTGAAAATATTTTTCATAGACACGACTTTCTGAAATGAAAATGTCTCCCAATTATGGCAGGAGTGTTGTTGGAAAGGGAACAAATAGGGAGATACAATCTTCAAGATATTAACTGCTTAGGGGACACAAGGTGATTGAATGCAGGCTCATTTCAGTCTAATCTGATGTTAGGAGTCTAAAGCTGTGAGGTAAAAGAATAGGCGAAGAGGAATGATTTGGGAGGGGGCAATGAGGAAGGAAGGAGGTAGCAGTGCCAACTCCAGACCCTGTGGTACCACTGCTTTGGCAGGAAAAACAAACTTGAGAGGGCCAAAATGGAAACTCGTCCTCATGGAAAAGTGCTCTTCCCTCACCTAAACTTTTCATTGACGTTGATATGATCCCTACTTTGGATGTGAAAGCACCAAATTTCAGAAAGTTAAGAAATTGTCTGCTATCTCAATGCAAGGGTAATTGCTGAAGAGATTGGCACTGGAGTTACGGGGACTCCAAAAGTGTATGATTTAATGACAGAGCATTGAGGAGGATTCTATTGGTGAGGAAGAATGTTTATATTAATATGAAATGTTGCATTTATTATATTAAATATTAATATTTCTGGTTTAAATATTATAGGTAGTAATAAAACATATGTTACTCAAAGCTAATTAAAACAGTATAAAGAAAAATGGGGGAGGGGGATGATACTTAGATTCTGTCCCTTTAAGATAACCAGATTTTTTTCTCCCTATAAACATAGTTAACATGTATCAACACACAGACTTGGTTTTTTTGTTTTGCCCACACTATATGGTATGCAAGATCTTATATAGTTCCTTGTCCAGGGTTTGAACCCACACCCCCTCCAATGGAAACACAGAATCTTAATCACTGGACCACCAGAGAAGTCCCCACATGTACTTGTTTTTTCAAGTCTCGTATTTTTCCTCTATTTCTCTAAATTCAATATAAGCTAGACATTTTCTGATAAAAGCCACTGAAAATCTAAAACCTTTCAATGATGATTATATAATGATTCATTGAATGAATCTGAGAGATGAAAACAAAACAGCCCCTGACATGTGGAAGCTGGCATGGCACTCGAACTAAGCCATTTTATTCTCCTTTAGGACATAAACCAATCACAGAATACCATCTTCAAATGAGGTGTCTCTGAGACTATGGGTAAAGTAAGACAGAACAAGGCCCCTCCATAATTTTGTTTAGACAGACAAAAATAAGGTCACTGTGCCACCCACATAATACCAAGCATCACTCTCTTGGCTAAAAGAGTGACTGCTAATTCTTTATGACTTTAGACTTTATCTTTGTTTTGTCTGCTCTCCCAAAGCTTTCTGACAGCATCCAACCTAGAGTGAACCCTGCTTCTTAGGCTCTGTCCTAAAACACCCAACCAAAGCCCAAATCCTGTAACAGATTGAGCAGGGACATTTCCACATGGCAGGGTGGAGATGCAAGGGCTTCTCAGTCCTATTGTCCCTTGGCAGTACCAGTTCCCTGAGTGAAAAACTGAGCTGCTGCCTACCCTCTGGCCACATGGGGACAAACAGGATATACATAAGCTTCCTGTTACCAGGGAGAAGCTGGTGCAGTGGGTGCGGACAGAAGTCTGAGAGGAAACTCCTAGAAGAGAGGGAGACTATATCCTACCCAGGCTTTTGACCAAGCTCAAACTCCCTTGTGTGCAACTCGCCAACTCCCATGATGTCCCAGGGATTGCAGTGTCTGGAAGAATTACAAGGGTCCTGTGCAGGAAGC